AGTTTTAATTTAATTTAAACAGAGTAAGAACTTAAGGTGAGCTGAGCTTGTAAAAGAGTTTTGAAATGTTAACTGCAATAAACCTAGTTTTCATTTTTAAAAAACAAAGTCATCCATGAAGAGAAAGTTCTTCTTTCTCTCAGCTTATGGTGGACTAGCTGCTCCAGACTAATTATTCTCCTGAGAACAATAGAAAAGTAGACCAAACAACAGGGGCCAGCAGTCAAAGCAGCCAGAGCTTGAGGCACCAAAATCTTGGAAATGAGGAAAAAGCACTGGAGAAAACACAGCACCCACTCTTTCTTCACCAGGCATTTGAACACACATACTATGCGTGTGTGAGGCAATATGGGACCATTAGGTAGAAGGAAACTTTTAGAGAGGTCTTCCTGAAACCACTGCTATTTCAAACATTTTAGCAGATTATCAGCCAGGAAGACAAAATTAAAAGTTGTGAGCAGCAAAGATAAGGAGCCCTTAAATTCCTAGGTTTTGAGATCCCAGATGTCCTGGGAATATAGGCAAACCAAAATAGATCAGCCTCTGCTCTAAGAAAGTGATCTGCTCAGAATTTACAAAAATAATGTTAAAAATACTCTTAAAGGTGATATCATCAACTTAAATTATCAATATAAAATTACCAGGCATGCCAGAAAACAAAACCTAAAATTCCAAAAGTGAGAGCATGGAAGTAGACTCATAGGTAATCCAGACTGGAGTTATCAAACATTGACATTGAAACACCTGATGAATATATTTAATAAAATAAACTTAAAAGTAGATAATCACTAAAGAATAATAATCTTTAAAAATAAAATTTAAGAATTAAAAGTGATCAACAATATAGTGATGCACATCTATAGTTCCAGCTACACAAAAGGCCAAAGCACAATGGTAATGAGTTTGAGGCCAACTTGGAAATAATAGCAAGACCAATTTATTTTAAGACAAATAAGGGAACTGAGGGTGTAACTCTGTAGTTAAAACATATGCTCAAAAACATAGGTTTATTCACCCTGAGTTTTCCTAACTCCATTTGTGTCTCTTTGACTCTACTTCCTCCTTAGCTATTTTTCTCTGAGTCACTTTTTTTTTTCAACTAGATACCTTGGATTCCAGAACAAAAAGCCTGATTGATAAGTATCTTTATCACAAAGGACCAAAATTGTTCCTCTGAAAGCCCACCTAAAATATTAAGGACCTCTTTAAAAATTTCTACTTTTATGAACCATGTTATGAGATTCACAGAGCATATCAGCCCATGTAGATGCTGCCCACTACATAGGAACAGTTACTTTGAAACAAAACCAAGTCTGCCCAACAAGAGGAAAAGTCATCTCATGATAGACGCTAAATCACCCTCTACAATCAATGACAGGCCTTCCCAGAGCTTCACAGAATGAGTCTGAGATCACGGCCAACTGCATCATAGCCTGATCAGGATGATTTTACTCTTTGCAACCCCCTCTCCCAGTCATACATACCCACCAAGACATTGCCTTTGGTCCTCTTTTCTATAAAATCTTCAAGTTGCTGGCAATCCCATAAAGACAGAGCTTTGGTTACTATATAACTATATGTGTTTGTCCTGGCATGGCCACACTGATTAAAATACCTTTCCTACCCTTCAAACTGCTTTTCTTTTTCACATATTACAAAGGGTGACCCACATTAGTCTGTCTAGACCTCTGGAGCCAGACCCTGTGTCCTAGGACTCTGGTAACACTGGCTCCAGGTCTGGCCTTTGAAGGTACTTTAGCTTTCGTTTTCAGCATGAGATGATTAACTGTAGAATGTTGGGATAGAGAAAATAGCTAAAAACCAAAAATAAAACAAAAACAGGTTACCAGGAAATGCCTAGGGACTGAGAGGGAAAAAATTAGGGCATCTTTAAAAATTTCTAATCTTATGGGCCCTGTCACATCTTTTTGGGGGAGAGGGTTGTGTACATTATCCTCTCCTCAGCTCTTGTTGTATTCTAACAAATGAAACCACACTTTAACTTTATTGAAAATTGAAACATAGGTACACTAAAATGGGTTGAAAATCATAATCTATATCATATATATATATATATATATATATATATATTATGGTAACTAAAATTAATAAATATTATGATTATATCCTTACTATCATTGTTTGGCTGTATTATATAATTATATGTTATATGCTTACTTAAGTTTTTATAGATGTTATACATCAGGGATTATGGGATAAAATGGTTTAAAGTATCTATTGATGTTAATGCCAAGTCATTACAATTCTCACAAGGAATTAGAGACCTCAAGTTACTGTTAGATGACTGCTTCATATTAATAAACGGGAAAAAGACTGTAAAACTTGGATTTTAAATTATGAAAATAAGTCCATTCACTGAGGTGCTATAGGCTCCCACATCATTTTAGAAGGGCTCTGAAATGTGAGGTAGGCTAGACAGTCATAAGCAGGTGGGCAGGTGAAGGGCAATGAAGAACACCAACAAACCGGAAGAATATTAGACATATGCATTAGAAAAAATCCAGGAGTCATAGGACTAAAAACACAGGCAACTTTATCATAGTAGAAAAGACTGGAAAATAAAAACCAGAAGGTCCTCTGTTCCCAAACTATAGATAATTATAAGCCTGAAGAGAACTATCGCTTCAAGACCATGCCACAGCTACCTCTTATCACCAGGTCAGCACCAAAACCATTTTGCAGCCACCCCTTTTGACTAGGTCATCATGACGCTCACATAGAGAGTTCACTGAAGGCTCCACAAAGGGGTAATAATTTAAGGGGATATGAGAGAACAGAACAAGAACAAAGGGATCCAAAATCATTGAAAATTCTTACTCTATAAAGGCTACATATCATCCTCCCTCAGAGTAGGTTTCTTCAGTGCTTATCCTCAATGTCTGTATTGTCACTTTTTCTGATAAATTCTTGTTACCCTGTGTGATTCATTTGAAATCCTCCTTGTGGAATCACAAGATATGGTGGTTGAAGACCCTTGAGGTCACTTTACTTTGTGAGTGGGTCTCTGCTGAAACATGGAGAAAATGACAAGATTTTGGATAGAAAGGAAGAGACTCTATCATGAAAGCTCTGCATGCTCAATGAGAAGCTTGACATCATTTAATCAGGAAAGGTTCAAAAGAACATACTAGTTGCTGTGTGGAGGATATTGCAGAAAGGGGGAGCAAGTCTGGAGATATGGGCTCATTAGCAGACTACTAGAAAACAGGGCATAAATGCTAGGATTAGATGGGTGGCCCTTGGTACTGGTAAAAAGGACGTTAAATTCAAGAGCTCAGAGGGATGAACTTTTACTGAAAACAGACAAGAATGAACAAGATTCTCCTGGATGGCAATCATCGCCGTCTACTTTTGATTTTTGTTATGAAATAATATGTTGCCCTTAGGTTTCCTTAAATTCTATTTTAGGATAAAAAAAACTCTTTTTCTCTCTCCCCATTAAATTCTCCATCTGAAGTCCTGGAAATTA